TCGATGATATTTTAATTTGGGGTGCATCAAAAGAGCAGCATGATCAACGCCTGCGTGCAGCACTGATGGCAGCGAGAAAGGCTGGCCTGACACTGAACAAAGAAAAGTGTCTGTTCGCGAAGGCCGAAGTTAAATTCCTGGGAGATTGTATCAGCAAAGAAGGAATAAAACCCGATGCTAGTCTCATTGAATGCGTTGCCAACATGCAAAAGCCGTCGAGGTAAACAGGAAGTTCAAAGGTTTTTAGGTATTATGAATTACTTTGGCAAATTCATACCTAATCTCTCAAAAAGAACTGACGCCCTTAGGTCATTGATAAAGAATGATGTTGAATTCATATGGGAAGTTCACCATGACAAAGAATGGAAGATCTTATTAAGGCTTTGACATCGGCTCCAGTGATCGCAGTTTTTGACCCATTGAAGCAACGAAACTCTCAGCTGATGCATCAAGCTTTGCAGTAGGTGCTGCTCTTCTTCAACTCCATGACCAAGATTGGCGCCCAGTGGGTTATGCTTCAAGGGTGCTCTCAAAGGCTGAAACAAAATATGCCCAATTGAAAAGGAAGCGCTGGCCGTGACGTTTGCTTGTGAGCGTTTCGGGAGTTCGTACTGGGGTTATCAGTGACAGTCGAAACAGACACCGACCTTTGCTTGCTATTTCACAAAGAACCTGAGTGAAATGCCGCCACGATTGCAGCGCTATTTCTTGAGGCTAATGCCTTTTGATATCAAATTGCAATATGTTCCTGGGAAGCATCTGCTAGTGGCGGACACACTGTCCCGAATTCCAGGAACCCAACCGAGTGACGGAGAAAGCGAACAAGACGTATGCATCCATGCGACTCGCTGAGCCGCCATCTTGTTTAGACAGCAAAGTAGCCTGCATCGTATTTGCCTACGATGCGGTCTTCTCGGAGCTCTCTATTTTGCCGGCTACGTGAAAATTGGAATGGGACTTAATATGGCTGCCGTCTATTAAGCTGTCCATTTAGCTGTCCATTTAGCTGTCTACGGTGAGTATTGGAACACACTCATTGTGTATGAAATCGTTTCAAACTTGCTGTGCACCCACTACGTGGCCTTAAGGGTGCGGTAGCGTGAGTGCCTTTTGTAGTGGGTGACTGGCTTTAAACTATGAAGACATGAGAATCCCTTGTTTTGGCGCCCGATGGTAATGTAAGCTTGTACCACGCATTATTACGGCAATATTTTATGTTGTAATGGGAAGCATGTATACAGGACGCGTATGTTTGAAAACCATGACAGTTACTTTCACTGTGCTTCCAAGCATAGGGAGTTGTTTTGATGGTGCTTACAGGCAAAAACGTGGCTGTGTGGCAGAACACCCGCTTGTCATGCAACCAACGCGGGTTCGATTGCCACTCAAACCCGCGATTTCTTATTATTTTATTTGCGTCTTTCATAATTTTCGGTCATGCAAAGATGCTCAATTTGTCGGTCGAAGCCGGAAGTTTTGCGAAACGAGCTTTTTAACGCTATCACATTAATGCGACTTACTGGTCATGACATGAATGATGTCACAATCCCGTCGCGTACTTCGTCAAACGCTTTCCCTAGACAGTGGCACATGCTCGGCCGCAGGTATGTGCCACTAGTGTGCAGGCATGTGACACAGGTGATTGACCCTTCATATCTGCCCAGGAACGGCGAGAACACACATGGGTAATTTTAACGCGTGAGCGTTAAACAAATAAACTGAGATCAGCTGAGTTGACCCGCCGAGCGTGAAAAAGAAGTGTCACGGTCTCAGCAGGAATCGAACCCCCGCATTCTCCGTGGCAACTAACTATTCTACCAAAGAGCAGCGCCAGATCTCGCTACTGTTCTTTAAATAGACAGTGATGTTCGTGAAGCGTAAATAGGGGATGCAGTGTAGCTATCCATTTTTATAAACATTACATGTCTACTCCTACAATACAGCCGGTACGTAACAATACATGTCTATTCCTACAATACAGCCGGTACGTCAGGTCTACAGTTAAGCGCAACGTACTGAAGGTCCATAATGTCTACGTTGAAATCGCCGACTAATTTAAAATATGCGTGGACGGACGGATGGAGGGACAGATGGATGGATGAACGGACGGACGGGCGGATGGACGGACGGGCTGATGCAAGGATGCATGGATGTGTGGACAGACAGACGGCGCGAGTGGTCATGTATTGTGCTGTTGTATAGTCGATCACACATTAAGTCGGTTGTTTACACATATGTTTCTGTTTTTCGTGGTGCAAATGTGCCGTTTCGATTTGCACTTTGTGGGGCGTGATGGACGCCAACTAGGTCGGTCGGCCCTATGGAACTTCGCCCCTAAAAGTTAGGACCGTCACCATTGACCCAACGAACACATAGAATAAATATCATGGTCCAGGCAGGAATATAACCCCAGTATTCTGCGTGGCAATCGAGTATTCTACCTCAGTGCCACGCCAGGTCTCGGAACTGGTTTCCAAGTAGACCGTAATGTTCGTGAAAAGTCAATTGTGGTTGCAGTTACCCAATTATATAAACATTACACGTATACTCCTTTGATACAGCCGTCACATCGGGTCAACGACAACTGTAGCGAAGCGTTGTGCAGTGAAGATCAATCATGGAGCAGTTTCTAGGGCCGAAATCCTCGCTGCCACAATCGCTACATACCAGCTTACCGCTTATGTGTGTGTTGCCAATAGCCATTTTGCGATTGGCTTCATTACGCAACAGTACAAGTGCAATTATTTAACGCATATCTATGTATGAAACATTTGTACATATCTTTAGTGTCATTTCGTGACGTTTCACTAAATCGAAATATTACAGCACAGTGACATTCCGTCTGCATGCTTCGCATAACATCGATTCCCAAGGTACGTGGGATCTGTCGAGTTTTTTAGTAGTATTATGTACCGTTTTAATGTATAACATAGTAGTAATAAATGACCCGTCCGGACTTCCTTGTATTCTGGGGTGATTACAGTCAGTGTTTTTAGATGCGGAAGCATCTTATACTCGCGCCTTGTAGTGCGCCGTCCGCACCGCTTCTCGAACATTCGACAGCTGACGCGCGCGCATGCGCCGTCGCGCCGTCGCCCACTCTTCCACCATCTGTGCATCTCTTCCTCCTCTACACACCGCGCGTGCTTCACTCCTCCACCATCTGTGCACCCTTCCTCCTCTACACACCGCGTTCGACATCTACAATTCTCCTGATTCTCCAGTGGACGCGCATGTGGCGTCGCGCTTCGAGAACATTCAACAGCTGACAGTGCATGCGCCGTCGAGCTGTATATATACTCAAGGTCGGCGCTCGCTCGCTCAGTTGCCGCTCGTCGGTTGGTTTGTACGGCGCGTCGACGTCCAAGGTCGCGGTGAAATGAATTCCAACGAATCCACAAACACAATGATCGACGTCCCTTCGACCAGCACCGCCCTTTCGCATACATGTGTACGTGTTCACTCATTTAACACCCCCTCCTACAACCACGTTAACCAATTTAGCCATCGACCCAAGTAAGTCGCAATTTAACACCCCATTTCACAACCACGTTAACCAATTTAGCCATCGACCCAAGTAAGTCGCACTTTAACACCCCGTTAACCAATTATATGCTCCGCATCCTCCTCAGTGTTCCCCCGAGGGAAGCTGCGGGCAATTTTTTTTGGCATGCATTTGTTGCTTCGCGCATGCTACGTGTTTTGCTTTGTTTTTAACCTATGTTTCACTCGTACTTTCTCTGTCCCTCGAATACATCACAATATTCCCATTTGATTTAGGGAATCTATAGCATATACGGCATCACTTTTTTCCTGTACTGCACACCGTGTATAATTTACCCACGTTATGCCCTCCTTACAGAATGCTCCGATAACGAGTCTGTAAGGTGTTGCACAAAGAAGCGTGTTAATTATTTAAATAAATAAAACTAGCAGTTACGTGTGGGAATACAACCGCTGAACGACGCTCCTTAGAAATGGGGCGCAAACGACAACGCGCCTGATCTCGCCGCTACATTTCATAAGGCCGCGTTCACACTGAGCATTCCGGCCACCGAACGTGCTCCGAATCCGGTTCGGCGGCGGCGAGATCCGCCGAAAGGGCCCTCTCCGCGCTGATCGCTCTCGGACCGATTTTTGCGGCGTCTGCCGCCGAATCGATCACCGCGGACCAATAGGAGTGCTAGTCAAGGAATTTTGAAAAATGGCGGCCAAGCCCTACTCACTTGTTATGCCGCAGTGCACGTAACTGAATGTTGAAACCAACGGGAGTTTAACCTACTCTGTGCCTACTTCGCGTCCGTATTTCGTGGAAGAGGTGACCGAGCTTGCTGTTGGCGTGACCGAGCTTGTTGCGGTCTTGCAGAGTAAAACGAACCCACCAACGCCACTGGCGTCGGTGAGTTTTCTGCTCTTCGTGCATTAAAAGACAGCCACTTGCCAGCAAAGTAAGCAGTACTGTCTTTTTTTGCTTCTTGCGTACGAGAATCTTCGAAGTATACACCACCGGATATCGTAGTAGCGTTTACGAGCCGCGACAACAACCGGGTGACAGCGCATCCATCCCGCGTTTGCCCCGTAGTAGATGGCATATTCGGCGGCGCGGGGCGCGTCCAGTGCGAACGACGCCGCGTTTCGGTGGCAGGGGAATTTCGGTCGCTGTAGAAAGCGGATGTTTCAGTGTGAACTAGGCATAAAAGCGGTAGTGTGGGGAGTGAATGGGGAGAGCGTTTGCTGCACTTGGTGGAGGAAACGACTAAACGAGGGCGTGTGCGGTGCGAGCCACCGCCCGCTGCGCCTGCGCTCGCCGAGTGAGCGCACCTATTGTATCGCTCGCTGCACTTGCCCTTCGCAGGGAGCTTCGACGGCGACGGCGGGTTGCGGGCCTAAGGAGCATCGCGCCTAATTAACACTCTAATAAACAAATAAATAAATTCGTTGATAATAATACACATGGACTCTTTTGCAACTTATTTATCCCCTGTTCTTCTCGATCGCAGAGTCCCGGTAGCTCATCGAGTGACTTGGGCGCACGGCTGGGCTGCGCGCTGGCGTCGCAGCTGCACCTGAAGCCGCCCTCGCAGTTCCTGTCCACTTCGACCGCGGGCGGCCGCGGCCCGCTTTCGTCGGCGCTCTCGCAGAGGCTGTCGCGCGCCGTCGCCGGCGCGGCGAGTAGCAGCAGCGTTCTGTGGGACAAGTCCACCTCGCTGCCCAGCATCGCCGTCCAGAGGGTCGGCCTGCTGCACCACGCGTCCTCGGGCAGCACGGCCAGCACGAGCGCGGCCGCGTCGTCGCGCCTGTCGTCGGCAACACGCTGCTCCTTAACGGCGACGGCCGCCGCCGCCGGCGCGGCAAACGCGACGCCGGCGTCGCAGCCGGCGTCCTGCGGCGCGGCGCTGCCGCCCGTCTCGGCAGCGGTATCCTCCTCTTGCTCCTCATCCTCAATGCACAGGTGAGCCGAAAAGCAGTGCCAATATATATATATATATATATATATATATATATATATATATATATATATATATATATATATATATATATATATATATATATATATATATATATATATATATATATATATTGTGCGTGTGTGTGTCGTTTATGTATAAAATATTTTAGTAGGTGATATTACACCTTTTCTATATCCGCAATACTTTATTATATGCGGTCTGTATAAAGGTGATTAATTTGCAGGTATAGAGCGACGACGAGCATGCTAAAAAGTTGATTAAAGCCTTCTGCTATACAAAAGTTGATAATTATTCAAACCTAAGAGCAGTGCACAAAAAAGGGCAAACCGCATAACGTGTTCATTCCATCATGTGAATGCTACATCTTCTTATGCAAATTCCTAATCTCGAGTTAACAAAGATTATTGAGAAGCATGTAGAGAGCGATAGGCGCATAAGCCGTAAGCGAGGGAGACAAGCAGATGGCGTTGTTCAATAAAGCGAGGACGGGGAGCAACGGGGATTCTAGTCGGCATTAACAGAACGGAACGGAGTTAGGCTGGTTGTGTGTCATACACAGAGCAGACACGTGACGTGCAGAAGGCAGCAGCTGGTGAAATGCGAGAGGTCAGAATGGACCAGGGATGATTACGAGGTATCACAATCGTCATATGTTGAGGAAAACTGAGGCAGGTGAGAGCAATTCTGAAACGCAATAAAATTCACTTGACGAGAAAGGACATCGACTGTAACCAAATATTTTTGTTATACCTGGATTCAGAAATAGTGTGACAAAGTATTCTCTGAAAAAATAACCTGACCTAACAGTCTTGGCTGGGCATGCAGTTTAAAAATTAATTAGGAATAATGCCCCGTCATCAGACTGCTCGAAGTGCCAAACTATTACAGACTGAGAGGCCTGGGTGCTCCCTGGAAAGTTCAACTCGTCCTTAGTGAATTACCCAATATAGATTTTGGAAGACCTTCTAAAGTATAGAGTGCATCAAGACTGAGTCAGATCAGTTGAGAGGACGACCATTGTATGCAAGAAACGAAAGAAACAAAATATGTAGCCTCTCCGTACAGTTTACGTTGCTGAAGTACACAAGCGTTTCGAAAGCGAGAACCCTTTTGCTGTCCAGTTCATTTCTCGACATGTTCAATATTTCGGCCCTGAGCTCCAATGATGCTTAGTTTGTCCACGACTGCTTTTTAATCGCATTAAACATGCGTGATTCACTATTTCTTTTTACAAAAAACATTGAAACTTCATCTTCCCCAGCACTTCGCGTGCATTCGCCCTGTCGGCCGAATAATCAGAGACACTTCTGAAGGTGGTATGAAAGTGGTAGAAATCCAATTTTGTAAAGTACGCGCAGTCGCGCTCACTTGACTTGGAACACAAGAGCACGTGGCCGCACGAATCAAACGCAACGGGCGCGTGACTGGCCCTTATTTTCGCAAATAAACGATGTGCTCTCACTTGGGGATGATTTCGAGATGGGTTATAATTATTGAGCTGTGAATATTAGATCACGTTAAGGGCATTAGCGTTGTCTGAGCTCGCCAGGCCATGCGCTACTGTGTTCCAAACCATACCTAGTGCGACTGTACCTGACACCGTATTCGGAAAGCTTAAATCTTCTTTCACAAGAACTCTGTCTCATTGTCCAATCGCCTTGATCTCACTTGAGCGGCGCCTTTTCGTGAGAATATTTCTACTGAAAGATCCCGCGTTCCGACAGAAATCCTCACATGAAGCGGGCTGGGGCACTCGTTTCTGAATTGAATGAAACTACAAAAGTGGGCTTCTCCTCAGCAATAGTTACCGCGTGGGTGAGCTACCTTAGGCAAACAATGTTTAACGATAACCGTGCGTCACTTCAATGCATGAGCGCCACGTGTGCAGCCCTTTCAACGAACAAAACATCTACAGACAAATCAGAGTTCGATGAACCCGCTGGAACAAGAAAAAAAATTCATCTGCGTGCTATTGACGCAATCTCGTCATTCAATGCGTTGGGCAACAACGGCAAAGAATACCGTACAATGCCTCGCACCGATGGGCAAATCACGGACACCTAATTGACAGGGTGCGCGTGCAACGTCCTCCCGCGCATGCGCCATCTAGGATGAACCCCAATCAAGAGAATACGGTCAGCGTCCGTTGTGGAGCAATAGCAGGAGCTCAATCGAATGGTGCAGACGGGTAAAAATGTATTGCCCATTCTCGCTTTTCGAATTGGGCCCTTTTGGTCCCCCTCTTTCGCAGTGGTAGCCCTTTTGTGGTTCTTGTTGTCGTTTCTCCGGGTTAGTGTAACTTTTCTATTTCTTGCTCTGGCGTCAGCGTGTCTCACACGAAACCCTCTATTCCGCATCCTCCTCCTTCCCATGCGTCATTCTAAATGACTCACCAGCAATAATCACTGACATCATCACTGGCACCCACAACGGCCGTCAACGAGCTGACATGTAGCTTTGTGCCCTCCGCATCGAGCGAGTCCTCCGGTACTTCTTACTTGCGCAATGCCGATTGCACATTTTCCGTTGCATTACCTTCGCACTTGATTGATTGATTTGTGGGGTTTAACGTCCCAAAACCACCATTTGATTATGAGAGACGCCGTAGTGGAGGGCTCCGGAAATTTTGACCACCTGGGGTTCTTTAACGTGCACCCAAATCTGAGTACACGGGCCTACAACATTTCCGCCTCCATCGGAAATGCAGCCGCCGCAGCCGGGAATCGAACCCGCGACCTGCGGGTCAGCAGCCGAGTACCTTAGCCACTAGACCACCGCGGCGGGGCTTACCTTCGCACTTAAGCTAGCGAGCCATCTCGCAACACCGCCGCAGCGTCCTCCAAACTACCTAACCCACATCCATCGGTTTCCTCTGTGTCTAGGTTACCCTATACAGTCGCCCAGTCTCTCTGTAGTCGTTAATAAAAGGAAGATAATGGAACGTATCGATCAATAACTATCTGCCGACGGACTAAGTGAGCTCAGAATTGAAGTTGCCGCTGCGGCACATCCGCGGAGGGAATGGGAACTGTGCCGCAGTTAATGAGAGCTCTCCATTGATGCCATGGATGAAGCCAGATGGCCGGGATTATATCGGTGCCCTTTCACAGTTAGCTCTAACTTTTGGGCTCCCGAAATTCATTTGCAACCGGGAGGATTATTTCGGGGATCTCGCTCGTTTGGTGTGTGAATAGGAGGGTGGTGGTGTCTTTCTACGCTATATAAGCTTTGATCTTTCTCACGATTGGTCGATGCTGTACGTATACCACGCTTTTTTGCTGTATACAAATGCTGCCGTCGCCCAGGCTCTACGTACTGCCCACTCATCGAGCACGTGTATGAGGTCAAGCTTAGCGACGCTCGCTCAAAAGGCGGTCAAATCTTCGAAAACATAAACGGTGACGTTTTGAGTACATATATTACATGTTTTCCAAGCTGGTCATTTATTTTAGAGGGATACTTGAATGCAGAAAACTTTGGTATGTTATGTATTGTATGTATGTATGTATGTATGTATGTATGTATGTATGTATGTATGTATGTATGTATGTATGTATGTATGTGTGGTATGTATGTATGTATGTATGTATGTATGTATGTATGTATGTATGTATGTATGTATGTATGTATGTATGTATGTATGTCACACGATTCAGCCACTCGACCAAATTTTAAGGGCTTGCTTGCAACACCCGGTAATCTTGAACTGGTGGCTGCGTTCATACTTGTTAACAGTGTCGGTCAAAAGGCAAATATTACGCATAAGTATAAGTAAGCATAAGATGGTGCGGTCCTTTACTAGAAAGAGACATTGATACGTAATTCTGAAGACCCTATAGTGTTTCTTAGGCTGCGCTGAAAATGTGATGTCATGCACGAAAAAAATGGCAGCACATCCACGGAGTGAATGATGGATAGTGGGGTGAAGCATTCATGCGTCCATTCGTTTTTGTTTCCGTCCATCCATGCGTGCGTCTGTGTGGCCACGCGTGCATCCATCCACCCGTCCGTGCGCCGCACGTTCATCTGTGCGTTCATCCCTGCTTTCGTCCATGCATCCGCTCCTGCGTCCGTCCATGCGTCCATCCGTCCGTGCAGCCATCCGTACGTCCGTCCATGCATCTGTCTGTGTGTCCATTCGTCCACCTATTCAACACTCCAAGTACCACCATCTCGCATCTTTTCATCATATATTCCTCATAAAGAAGCACCGCTATCCAGCGGGCATCCAAGAACTGAACGAGAGGAAACACACGCACACTTTCTTACGGCTAGCGCTTCGTGTCTACTTCCCACCTTTAACCAGTTCATGACATATACTAGTTCTCTGTATTCATGGCACTGCGACCCAACGCTTGCTAAACCTTTCTAAAACCTAGGAGGTTACGCCCAGCGAGTATAGCGTAGCAATCCTTCCTTGTCTTCTGTGCGTTGTTGAACAATAAAAAATTTGCAGCGTGCGTGTTAACTAAAAGCCGCATTTTCCTGTCTCTCATTCCCCCTTAACAGCCATTGGCATGTACATTGAGCACTATGTTTTATTGTTCAACACCGCACAGAAGAAATCTCTCACCGGCACCACCTTGGAGGTCAAAATGTTATACTTGTTACACACTACTAACGGCTACGAGGGACTGAACAGGTGCCGCTATAGAAAGCTTCGCCCCTAAAAGCACTCTGCTGACGATACGGTGCTGCCACCTCGCAGTCGCCCTGAGTTCCGCACACGCTCGTGTCTTCAGGCGGCACTGCCGGATGGCACCCAAGCCTCACGTAGCGCCTCTTCTATTTTATCAATGTCAGCCAGATGCGGCCGATTCAACATAGAGGAGGCGCTCTCTGAGGCAAGGCAAAACATAAATGGCCGCTGGGCCGGCAAAAGACTATACCGTCTTTCGGCGACATTTGCGCCTAAAGCACGTACATACGCGGTTAATGTTGTTTCTAAACTTTAGTTTCGATGCGTTTCTGCTTGAGTGAAAACAATTGCTGCTTATTTCCATAACGATTAAAAGGATGAATAAACAGGCGCGAGGGTAGGGAGTTTAGTCATGTTTCAGTCAGACTGACTACCCAGTGCTGACTAAGGGGCTAAGAAGAATGAAAGATAGAAAAGCGACATGATAAAAAAAGATAAAAGTGAAAATTAAAGGAGAATAAAACATAATTCATCATTCAAAGTCCGTCTCTAAAACCAGATGTCCGCAAAGAAACGCAACAACTGTGCCGAGGACGGTCTCGGTCAGAGTCCTAAGGACCTCTTCACTTACAAAGAGTGATTGTCAAGTCTATCTCAAAAGCTCTTGGCACACTGTAGCGAAGACATTCCGTTATTAGTTTCCCCGCAGCCGAGTTGTAGCTTTATACCGCGTTGAAAGTAATCGATTACTCGCAAGCAGCTACATTTCTCGTGACATCGTACTGTCAAATTTATTTATTTAGCTTATTTTTGTCTCCCTACCAGCATGACGCCGAAGTGTATGTACGTCTGAAAGCTTTCAAACTATTATTCACGAGAGCCCTGGTAAAATATTAGGTTATACTTACATCTGCATTCCCGATGGTGGGGCCGGACACTGGGCATTGCGAAAAAGTCAGTCCGCTCAGCAGAAGAAACATGGGCACCACCCACACATTACGAGGCTGTGGTCAAGCAAGCCCTGGTTGGGAAGAAACTACCGCACTGCATCTAATTCGAAAATCTTCGACTGCGTTATCACCGGCGTCGATCTCGGTCGCTTCTTGCAACGCTCGCGTCGTAGGTTCCAGCGTTGTCTGGCTTCGGCCGCAAGGGTCGATAAGGGAACATCATGCATTACCGGCTTTAAGCGTGCATGCACTGCTCAACAATCCTTTCCTACTTTTCTTCTTAACCATCCTTTAGTATGCCAGAGATGCGGACAGACAGCAGAGAGTTTCTCGAGGCCCGGCGCTATGACTGTGTAGTCACGGATGGTGCAGTCATCTTGCGTCGTCATTGCCTTTGATAGGGGCGTTTGTAGAACGAGGCACTTCTTGCTCTTTTAGGGAGAGGGGAGGAATGTTGCTAGTGTTGACAATGAAGTCAGACGACAACATCAATAGAGCCCACGCCCTCCCGTCCGTGAGTCATTCATTGAGTGTGGCATTTAACGTTGGCCGTTGCCGAAACTTTATCGCGGTTTTCCTTCAGGTCAGCAAACCGAACAGAGCTCACTCTGATTATACAACTTTTTTTCAATGTATTAACCGTGTTCTAGCTAATAAAACATACACTTTGCTGAGGTTTCACTGAGAAAATTTATACTCAGCTTGACTCAAAGACTCAAACTCGGCAAATTTTTACTCTGGCAAGCTCACTCGGTACTGAAATTCACCTACGTTGTTACTCCCGCGGACTCAAGACTCAATGAAATTTTACTGAGTTAGGCTCAATCAGACTCACACTTCGTTACGATCGTTACATCGGTACAAGTGGCACATTGCTACTACGCTACAATTGCGGATCGCCAAAGCTTTAAACACATTTAGTGTTACACCAATCAAGGAGGTTCTTAAACCTCCTTGACCCCAACACGACGCTGCTGCTCAGAAGTCACATTAGGCAGATTCGTAACCGTCATGGATTTCTATTGCGATAGAAATTATATAGGACACACTCGGCTGGATTTCGCCACTGGCGTCGGTTTAATTTATTGTATATGTATAGACAGAAAGCAAATTCATAAAAAGGCTCCGGTGCGCGGAATCGAACGTCCGACCTTTTGCTAGTGAGTGTGAGGCGTTAGCCACTAAACCTCGTTCAACATTGAAACAGCAAGCTATTTATATCTAACCACTTACTGCTGGCGATGGTCATCTCGGGGGAACTATCGCGTCTTCAGCATTACCAGCGAGATGGCGCAATGAGCGTGCGTCAGCAGATCGTCATGACGCGGCGGCGCGTGCTCTCATCTCCCACGCGTACTTTGCCCCACGGAGAGGGGGGGGGGATGCTCACGCCTGCGTGCGCTTATCTCGCGGTGGGGAGAATCATACGCTTTGGGCTTTCACTGGAACGATTCTGTTGTCGTTAGCGGGTACACAAAGGTCACTTCACTCGCTGCACAGTCTCCGTTTGCGAAAACGGCGCGCTTTTCAGACGCAGCGACGTAACAACTGTTACGCTTATTCGCGTTCATCTGTACTTGTGAGTAGGCTTCGTGAGTCATTGGACACTTTTAGTTGGGCGTACGTAACGAGCCCACGTACGCAGCACTGCCACGGGAAAGAACTGCGCATGTGCAGTACGTAACGTATCCATTCCAGAGACGCGCGTACGCCCGAAACAAAAAGCTGCCTATGCGATGCAACGCTTACTACGTTACGTTCTCGCGACACCTAGAAGAAACCAGAATGAGAGTAATCGACCATTCCAGCGACTATAGGTGGCGCAGCGGAAGGTCGAAATGGCGGACGAGACGGTGATGTCGCGAGCGTTTACGTCAGCGTCGTAGAGCGTGAAGACGCGTTGATTGGTTTATGACTGAGAGACTGACTACTGACTACTGATAAAACTGCGTCACAGTTTTATCACCGTGTGACAGCTTCGAAGCATGGCTACATGGCGCCACCTGCGTCGCTGGAATGACCGAATATGGAGGCAACAGTGGCGTTTGACGCTGACAGCAACAGCGAACCTGATGCAAGGTATGTGTATTTCATAATGAAAGGCGATGTTTTCATGCCAGAAAAGGTAAATTCAAGTGGTGCTTTCCGGCGTCCCGATGAGTCAGAAGAAATTGACGGGCGTCTCACGAAAATCCTCACGAATCGCCTTCGATAGAATGCGTGCACGAACGCGTCTCGTTCTGCCAGGCCTCTCGGCGAATGAACCCGTAAATAAAACGGCACCTTGGTACGTACTTTTATTCATAGGGTAACATAACACGCCTTGGAAGTTGTGCGAGCTGGAAGTTCTACATCGTGAGGTCGTGAATACCTGCAACGTGACCACTGGCTGCGGGGTACGCTTAGACTGATCCGCAGAAGCGCTGGATAGAACGCTGGGGTCGATTCAGTGTGGGCATGCCCAGTCAGACGCCGTTCTTACATTGCGAACCCAAGTTCAAGACAGCAAAGGTGAACGTGCGCATTCAGTGCACCCAGGAACGACGCTAAAATTGACACAGCGAACACCACGTCTTGACTTTTACGCCGGTGGCCCTCACCCTGGCAGTCAGGCTGTGTTTCGTGCAGATCTCAGAGGCCATGTTATTACTGGGGCCACGGTAGTGGGACCTAGCGTACTCCTAACGTTGGTGGCGCTGATAAGCATTGCAAACCCTTGAACTCGCATACCATCTATATATTTTAGGAAAACACATCAAGGTTTGTTAAACTAAAAGTGCTGTTGCACGCTTCACTTGCCGCGTACGCGACGTAATTTTCACAGCGAACGCAGCCTCTCCGTACGCCCAACTAAGAGTGTATATTTGTGCGTGAGAAACGCGGGGAAGGTTTTGATTTGCTTGCCATTTCTTGTTATCGTGTTCGCTGCTTCGCCTTTGCGGCAAAGTTGTGACTTTTTATACGAACCGATTTATTCAAGTTTTCTTTCCATCCGCACTGTAGTAGACTGGATTAAGTATTACTTGCGCCGCCTGATTGTAATACTTTCAAACTGTATTAACATTGTTTATATTTCCTTGTTTCCTTGTTTTCTTTTTCCCCACCCTGTTGAAAGCTGTGTATGGCTTGCAGTAAAAAATGAATGAATGAATGAATGAATGAATGAATGAATGAATGAATGAATGAATTGTGCCGTTTCTCCTGCACAGTGTTGCGTGCCGGAGCCAGAGCTGCAGTAACAACAACAACGGCACCAACGGCGTCAACGGCGGCGGTAGCGCGTCCGAGCTGCGCGCAACCTTAGACTCGTCCAGCTGCAACGGGGCGCTGTCCGTAGACGGGCACCGCCGGAGGCAGTCGCCTGACGGACCGAACGTCGACCCCCACGGACGGCGGCTACCTCTTTCACCTGCCGGTGAGTTAGCCGCACACGTGGCCGCACACGCGGCCATTCCGTGGTTTCGACTTCCGAACACGTTCGAGTATTAACAGAGCTGCATGTGACTTACGCCATCCCGCGACGCCTAGGAACCACGATCTCACGTGTTGCATATCTCACGTGTTGCTTTTTTCCTCGATGTATTGAAATGTGGAACCTCATACCAGGTCACGTTCGGTCTTTGCAGAAAGATGAATTTTTGAAGGCATTAAAAGACTGTGTGCTGTAAACCTTTCATTGTTTGTATAACTCTGTTTGTAAAATTTTTGTATTTCTATGATCTGCCAATGTACTTGTGTATTCAGCTGTTTTGTTTTGTACCTTTTTATTATTTCTTGCTGTATACCCACTCCTGTGATAGCCCCATAACAGGGCTGCAGTATTTGAAAATAAATAAATAAATAAATAAATAAATAAATAAATAAATAAATAAATAAATATAGAGCCAAGGAGTAACCGGTCTCACACTTGTGCACCGCGACCTCCATCAGAGGGGGATTTCAAGGAATCACTTTTAGATGCCCAGCAGCTTATGGTGGAGCTCAATTCGGTGTGCCACACTTACTGCGCATGCGCCAGCTCTCTCCCTCTCATCGCGTGGGCGTGAAGAGACAGGGGAGAGTTGGCGTATGCATAGTGGGGTAGTGAACGGTCGCTGAAGACCCTCTCCTTGCGTGAGCGGGAAAAGTTGGCAGAGCGCTGCCTCCGCTTCGTTTTCAATGCGAAGCATTTTTTAGCGAACTTCGGCGGATTTGAGCGTATCTATCTATCTATCATCTATCTATCTATCTATCTATCTATCTATCTATCTATCTATCTATCTATCTATCTATCTATCTATCTATCTATCTATCTATCTATCTATCTATCTATCTATCTATCTATCTATCTATCTATCTATCTATCTATCTAGCCACCTACGACATTTAACTCTCCTGGCCGTTTCGATAATGGTATCGATACCAATCTTGATATGGCATAACATGACTGTATAAAGAACATATTTGACTGGTCATAACATGAAAATCATGACATGCATGTCATGAATGTCATGATTTACATTTCATGGTCCGACATCTCTTGTGGTGGTTTCGTTCACATGGCATGTTGCAAAACAGGTATGGTATGACATGATTGCATGGCAAACACAAGCGGCACACCTTAGCATCAAAATCGTGACATACGTGTCACGTAACAACATGACAAATGCCACGCTCATGATGCTCGCGGCCGTTTCGCTCGCGTCTCATATACCAAATTAGATACTACAGCATTTGAATGGATGACGAAGGTATGATACTGGTGCAAACATGATAATCATGAGATGCGTGTCATGTAACAACATGACTGCATGCTACGCTCATTATGCGCTCGCGGCCGTTTCACTACTTTCACATGTATCAAACTTGTTATTACGTGACGCGAATGTACGACATGGGTAAGTGACACATCCAAACATGATAATCACGACATGCGTATCATGTAACAACATGACTACACGCCACACTGAAGATGCGCTCGCGGCCGTTTCGCTAGCTTCACATATGCCAAATTTGGTATTACGTGACGACAATGGATGACGAAGGTATGTGACTGGTGCAAACATAATAATCATGAGATGCGTGCCATGTGAGAACATGACTACATGCCACATTCAAGGCGCTAATACATTTCGACGTGACACTGTGCGCGTGCTCGCCGGCGTTCATTTCGTCGCGTCCGCCGGTGTTGCCTCACTAGGCGCCGGTCCTGCAGCATGCCATATACTCGTAGGCGCGCGCTGAGCTGCGTTGCTGTGACGCATGTGCGTTTCAGCGCATCCGGCGTCCCTTCATCACAAAAAGTGAGAGACGCAGTGTTGTCTGGGTGACGCATTGGCACGAAATGCAGCATGTCGCATTTCGCACCGGTTGCCGTCGGGCCGCGCTGACGGACGCTGGTCGCGCCTAGCATCAGACTACAGAGTGCTCGCGTTTTGCTAACGTAGCGTTGCTGTGCCCAACGTGCGCGACGCTACATTGGAGTATATCTGGACCCTTCATGATGCACTCGCAGCCGTTTTGCTAGCTCCACATATACAAAATTTGGTGTTACGTGAACGTCAATAGGATGATGAAATATATGACTGGTGCAAACATAATAATCGTGACACGTGTGTCATGTAAGAACATGACAACATACCACGCTCACAGCTGTGCTCGTGGCCGTTTCGCTAACGTCACGTATACTAAATTTGATATCACGTGACATGAATAAATGAGGAAGGTAAACGACACATTGAAACATGATAATCATGACACAGAAGTCATGTATGGCATCACTTACGTTCACCTGGTAACGTTGTGCTGATTTTAAAGTGACTTACATATCAACATCTCTCATTCGTGCTTCGCATATGATCGAATCCCACTGTACGTGAGATCTGGCTAAATTTTTTTATTGACCTTGTTTTCATCCTGACAGTCAACAGTCAAGAGGCAAGCCGTCGCCAGGAAATGTGCAGTATATCTAGAGCTCGTTACGTGAGTGTTTACAGAGGACAGTGCAGGTTTCTTTTATTTCTGCTTTGGATCAATACTGCGTCAAGCGAATAAGTACGAGTCACTAGAGCGATACCTTACTCGCCTGGCTGATCACGAGGTGAAGCTTTGTTACTCCTCTCCCACTGTAGAGGCCCTGCTGTACTACGGCAACCGCCTGAGCAGCTACGAGCGTACCGAGGTGTCCCAGTACCGCGACGTCTGGTACCTGGGCCTGGACGCCAGCAAGATCGAGTACGACGAAGGGGCCGGCCAGAACGGCGGTTACGACGACGAGACCGGCTCCTACATCAAGGTATGTAGTGCATCCCCATTCTGTGTCTTGTTTGCCCTTTGGAACGGAACTGGGGTGTTGTGGCGTCGCCCATAATGTACGCGTGCATTCACTGCGTGCCATAGTGAATAGATGAATCAACAGATGTCGTGACGTAACAGCACACGCGATTGCGCGCAGCCAATCACGTGTGCACGCGTGTCTGTTATGCATGTGTGGTTTGAATATAATAGACGGCCGCTAGGCCGGCTAAATCGTTGTTGTGCTTCAGCTTCCCTTGGGTTCCGGACCCATTCACGTCCATACTGCATGCTCGTGTCGCGGGCCGTGCCGGCGCACGCCGCGTCTCGCGTCCAGTCCTCGGGCTCTTGCCGTCGGACACTGCCCGCCGACGCAACAATAGCTTTCTACTTTGCAAATCCTTTTTTTTTTTTTTTGCGGCCGCATGGTGCTGCTGCTGCTGCTGTGTGCACAACATGGTGAAATCCATCTCGTGGACAAATAGTGGTGTGCGCGAAGTCCCTGCCTCTGGCCATCCTTCTGGACTCACCAAGTAATCTCATCGCTGTTAGAGAGCACAACGAATAATTCAACGAACCGTTTTAGGTGACGTCGCTTTTTGCGAATTCCGACAGGTGAGCTGAATATGCGTTTGTTTTTGTAGTGTCCTGTTAAGTGCCGTTGAAAAGAGGTACTTATCAAAGTATGTGCGTACTATCTTCACAATTCCTCATTGTGAAATGACTAAGAAGTTTACAAACCGGAAATGAAATATCAGTGAGGCCCCAGTAAAAAATATACCAACCGGAAAGGTGTGCCGCTAATACGGACATACTTTTTCTACTATCTTCGTTTTACTGTGGGCCATCCAGATCAACACAGGCAAGTATTAAAAGACTGACGACATTCATTTGGGCCCTACAAATATATTGATACATTTGATCGTAAAGACACGCGGAGCAGAATATTTGTGTTCGGTTGAGTGCAGAATATCTGAGTTCGTTGGGAGTTGAGGTCCCAGGGTCCGCAATAGAGGAACTCGGCTTCGTAGTTAAGCAGGCTTCCCTTTGAGGAGTGGTGTAGTGGCGCTGTCGTGTAGTGCTTCTGGTCTCGTCGTAGTAGTGGTGCGCTGTTGATGATAGTGAGGGGGTGCTTGGGGCACCCACGTGCCACAAGCACCCCCGCACCATCATCAACAGCGCACCACTACTAGGGGGCACGTGCCACAAGCACCCCCTCACCATTATCAACAGCACACCACTACTAGGGGGGAAATCTGCTGGACAGCCAACACACGTTCCTCTATTGTGGACGACGAGACCAGAAGCACTACACGACAGCACCACTACACCACTCCTCAAAGGGAAGCCTGTTGAACTACGAAGCCGCGTTTCTCTATTGCGGACCCCGGGACATGAACTCCCAACGAACACAGATATTCTGCACTCAACGCTCGCCAGGAGCCCAACGCGAAAATCCTCCCTACAACGACGAAGGCCTGTCGGACATAACTACAATCTTCGGACTTCATCAGTGCCATCTCCGCACCCAAAAGAAGATTGACCTCTAAAATGTAAGTCCAGCTCATCGCTTCTCAGTTGCAGTACCACCTTCCTTAAAGTACGAAAACTCGCGGACAAACGAGTAAGACACGAAATGCATAAATTAGCATTCCAAGTGTACCTTGGTGCTAGAATAGCTCCCAAGGGTATGACACTCTTTCTCATGCCAGCCGCTACAAACCTAGATGAACACGACTAAATAACATGAAAAATGTCCTCCTTGAGGCGTATCTTAAATTAACAGAAATCGCTTTCAATCACAGTGATAACCAGGTAAAGAAACTGGTCGCTATGACCAACACCATTATCCGCCATAACACTTTATCGAACGAGGAAATCACCCGGTTAACAGAATTTGAACAAAGTAAATACCAAGCCATCATGATCACTAAAATCCATTAACTCAAAAGAGACCATGTCCCCTACCCAGCGTTTCCTGAGATATTTCTATACCGCTACAACACCACCACCCAGAAAAATACTAACGGTACAAACAAGCACCCATCAATGAACACACCCTGTGACATTGTGGTTGTAAACCTATCGGACACGAGCTTGTCACCTGACGAAGAAAAGCTGCTACCCAAAGGACTAAGCTTCTGCCCAACCACAATTTTTTTGACGAATTCCACTTGCTCCTATAGACCTCGACAACTTCACTAGAAGCTTGAGTTTGCGCGAATAGTTCTTGAACAGGCCTCCTAACCACGGAAAAAATCACTGTCGTAGAACAAATGATTGGACACCGAACAGTAATCGAGACAAGTGTCTCTTCCTTTATAGCACCACAGTACAGAAAGATATAGTACACGATTGCCGGATACAGAAAGGAAAACGAGAAAACCTGAGAATATCTAAAAAAAATGAGTTTGAGAAGTCTGGAATCTAGGACAAACATAACAATAAAACCCGCTGGCAAAGAAGAGGAATTGTAGTCTTTAATACAACCAACTACTTACAAGAAGCATACCGCCAACTAGACGACTCAAATTTTTACGAACGCCTCCAAGGTGATCCGACAGACGAACATAAACTTACCGTATCAACAGCACTAAAGAAACTGTTGGACGCAGGAAAGATAACCAACACTGACCACAAGCTGATGTGAACAGCATACGCTCGTCCAGGTCGCTTCTACATCCTCTCAAAAATTCATAAACCTGGTAACCTAGGTCGACCAATCATATCAGGCATAGGTACAATAACTGAACTCATTAGAGTGTACGTGGACAAACTAATAAGCCACACTCCATGCACCCTAGCGTCGTACATAAAAGGCACCACACATTTTCTTTGAGACATTGCATGTCTGCGTGTGCCGAAAAACTCGTACTTAAATTACTCTTGATGTGTCCTCATTGTATTCCAACATTCCTCATGATGATGGCATAGCTGCATTACAAAACATGTACACAGACCATAGACAACCTGATACCACAGATTTCTCTGCCGTCGCAACTTTGACGAGGATGGTCCTAGAACTAAATTCATGTGAATTTAACCAAAAGTATTTTATACAAATTAGCAGGACTGCTGTGGGCGCCAAATGGCACCCGATAATGCCAACATATTTATGGGAAAGCTACAATCCGAATTTCTCGCACAAAGTTCCTTGAAAACACTCTTATACAGAAGATATATAGACGACATCTTTCTTATTCGGAGCCACAGCGAGGATGAACTTCTCAGCTTTATCGACACTTACAACGCTGTACACCCAAACATACACTCCACACACATCTACTCGCAAGCAACTGTAAATTTTCTTGATGTTACCATAATGATGGAAGAAGACAAGCTTTCTACAACCTCATATCGCAAACCAACGGATCGACAGCAACACCTCCATTACCAAAGCGATCACCCGCGCCACTGTAAAAACAGTATTCCGTACAGATAGGCTCACCGGTTTAAGCGAATCTGCTCAAGAGGCGCTAACTTCTACACGAGCTTACAGAGGCTAAAACTTATGCTCGATAAACAAAAATACCCCCAGCCTATAATTGATGACGCTGTTCAGAAAGCTAGAAAACTGAATCGTGATGACTTACTTATGAAGCGACCACCGCAAGAAGACCTGCAACAAACGAATCTCTGTTTAACTTACAGCACGAACTTTCCCAGTGTAAACAAAATCCTTAAACGCCATTACAACATTCTGGAAAAAACTAAACGTCTGAAACGCGCATTGCCATCCATTCCTGGCGTCGTTTTCCGACGACCACGCAACCTCAAAGACACGCTTGTCCTCTCTCAAATCAATACTTCCCCCCTAATACTTCATGCCGACCCTGTTTAAAGTCACGATGTCTTGTATTAAAGCGATGCGAGAAACAGACAAAGCAACCAGCACACAATCCAAGTTTTCGATTAACATACGAGGAAACCTAACATGCAATTCCCCTAACGTGGTATACCTACTCGAATGCAACGTGTGCAGTATGCAGTACATCGGACAAACAGAAACACCAGTTATGATTTGTTTCAATAATCACAGAGCCCATGCGAAATCAGCTCCAAGTCCACCTCTATCAAAACGCCTCAACCTTCCCGACCATGCATTCGACAAACTATTAGTAACACTCTTACAAACGGGATTCAAATCAAACCGAGAACGTGAACGACGAGGGTCATACCTCATCCACCTATTTAACACCCTCGAAAGAGGAAGAATAAGTGAGAATCCGGGTACACTTGCAGCAATTAACCATTAGAAAACAATAATGGCAATAATGACAATAATAATTGAGTTCACGGCACTGAAGCTGTGACGTTCACTGGACAATTAAAAATACTTCTAACTACTCTTCCTGAGTATAGCTGTCGTCTGTTTCCGCTTCTAGCTTTATCCAATCAATTGTGCCAACCATGACACGCCCAACAGCACCGCTGTGCTCAGTCAGGAGGCCCCTACTGCGTAATCCAGGAGCGGGCCATAATTGACATTGCACCCGCTTGCCAGTCTCAACGGCAATGGGCGGCGCCCCTCTTTCAACAGCGAGACGTCCACGAGGCACTGTGTAGTTAAAGGCCTAAACTTCTTAAAAAAGCTATTTTTCGCCACACCGGACCGCCGGAGCCATGCGGCGCCGTCTGGTCGGGAACAATACGTTAGTGGAAGGAAGTATATGCAGACCACGGACATCCTAAAGGTGATCGTCGGAAAAAGGGAGGGGAGGAAAAGGAAAGAAAGGGAGAAATAAAAAGGAAAAAAGGTAGGGAAAAAGAAAGAAAGGAAGTTTAATGTGGATGGTCTGGGGGAGGGGGAGTCTACCTCATGTTCTCTTTTTTTTATGTGTGTGTTTACCCTCTCTTCTTTAAGATCGTATAAAGCTAAGCACCAACAAACTGTACCCTAATTCCTGATAAAGGCCAGTCTCTGGCTGGAAAGACGAAGTAAACCACGTTGTGACTGCTCACGGAGGGTCTACTTGACTACTTGCAACGCCACAGCCACTA